AATAAGGAAAGAAAAGTGGTTGACACTAATGTGCAAGCGCTACAATACACATTTAAGTGCAGAGTGCAGTTGATCATTAATGTCGTTGGTAGAGTATCTGGGTTTTTCAGTCTCAAAAGGAAATAGAGCCTTTCACAAGGCTGTATTAGAGCCTTTAATCAGAGATGGATGCTGTTCAAAAGGCATTTAGCAGCTGGAGTGAAAAGTTTACCTAGTCACTGCCATTTCCCAAGAGGAGTACCTTCTAGAGCATGTGCACTTATGCCTATAAGCCGTGCCAGTCTTAAATGCATTTATTTGGAAATAAATTCAGGGCTGTGTCTCTTCACTTTTTAATTTAAAAAAAGAAAAAGAAAAAAGAAATAGAAATCCCTACATCCAGGCAATCCATGTTCTGCATTAAGAAAAAGCTGAGTTTTGAAATATGTGTTAATTATATTCACAGATACTTAGGGCTGCAACAGGTTAAACTGTAGAAATCACAATTGATTTTTATACCTGTTTGATTTTTATACCCTATGTTTTCCTGATCCTAGCCTGATTTGACATTTGTTTCAATTCAGTAACCAGTACAGTTGTACCCTGGAAGTCGAACAGAATCCGTTCCAGAAGTCCATTCGACTTCTGGAAACATTCAGAAAGCCAAAGTGTGGCTTCTGATTGGCTGCAGGAAGCTCCTGCAGCCAATCGGAAACTGTGGAAGCCCCGTCAGACGTTCGGGTTCCAAAAATAGTTCACAAACCAGAACAGTCACTTCCATGTTTGCAGCATTCGGGAGCCAAAACGTTTGAGAACTAAGCTGCTTGAAAACCAAGGTACGATTGTAGTGGGGAAAGTGCCAGGACAACCCCCACCCCACCCCAAACAACAACAACAACAACAATGCTTGGATACAGTGAGGACCTGTGTTTAGAAAATGTGGGCAAAAGCTAAGTGTGAATGAGCTGTTAGTGTTTGTTTCATCTTTCCTTTCTAAGGGACCAAAGTGCATAACACAATCAAGGGTTGACAGCAGGCTATGAGCAGGGAGAAACCAAAGCTGGTCATTGCCACTATGTTAATGTCATAGGCAACCCCACAGACACTGACACACATCTGCAAACACCTAGATCTTCTGTTAAGGGTACACAGCAAGGATGGCAAAAGCTGGCCAGAACTTGGAATATTCTTCGCTGTAGTTAGACACTTCATCACATGAGGTAGTGGTCAGTGGTTCCTGAAAGCCTGCTATGGACGTAGAAGTGCTCCTGCTCAAAACTTCAAGGTAACCTCAGCTTGCTCCTGTAAACTTAACTTTGGGACCTTAGAAGGTGCCAATAAGCAATCCCGAAACCCAATGGGTGATGTTTTACTTCCAGGGATTAAGACTGCAATCTAGCTACTGGTGTCTTTCCCAATGAGGAAACCCAAGCAAGAGACAAAAGGTTCTGCTCTGGTTCCAATGAAGTTCTAACCCTCTTACAATGGGTGCCTGCAAAACTATTGTACACTCTAGAAAATTTGGTTATATCTTTTAAACTCCAACACAACAGCATATATATCACAAATTGATTCTAATAGTGGGTTACTTGCCAGTTGTGCTACATGAATGTTAACATGATTCCAGGCTACTATGAATACTCTGGAGGTATTTTCCTATTAGATGCCATGAGTTCTGTAGACGTGTCATGGAGGGAGTAGTTGGATCCTGAGGAGGAATGGGAGAAACTCAGGTATTTGGAGCTGGATGATCCTGGGAGAGTCATAGCAGGATAAGGGAGGTGACATTGGGCCCCAATAATTGTTTGAATCTGGGGCTTCGGGAATGGGGAGCGGGATCCTAGGAGGTACAAATGGGTTGATAGAAGAGTCTTTTACATCAGACACCCCTTGTCAGATACCTTGTGTTGTCAGTGAGGAGTCTCCTCCTTCAGTGGAGGTGACTAAGAGTAAAGCAAATGTTGAACAAGTGGTAACACTCTCTTTGTCTCCAAGAACATGGAGATGCCAGTGCAGTCCCAACCCACTAATAGGAGTGCCCATTTGCTTGCCCAGTCCTAGAATGTGCAAGAGGCATATTGTTTGTTGGATCAATGTATCCGCTTACACTTAGTTGTGTATCTTTACCTCTTATGTACCTGCTGCACCCTGTAACCTGTAATTTGCCTTATCTACCAGTTGGATTTATGCATTAATGCCTTTGGCAGAAACTGAGATGAAAGTTTGAGTTCTCCATCCAGCAGTGAGTGCATCATGTCTTAGTGCCCTATGTCTTTTATCCCTCCTTGCTCCATGGGCAAAGGCAGAAGTAGAGTCACAAAGCTGAGGGAGGAAAGATAATAAGCTGTATTTGGAAACATATTACTCTCTTCTAAGAGACCATCACCCATATGAACAGTAGTAGAATCTCTTTCATTACCAAGGTTGCAACCAGAGAATTGGATTGCATTTCAAAGAAAACTGATGCAATTTTCACTTCCTGGACTAATGCAAAAATCAGAACATGATTATTCTTCAAATTGTGCACATCTCTGAATTATGTGATGCATTCTCAACAACCTATCCTCTGCTTATACAGATGTGTATTTTAGGGAAAATGCGTATAGAGATGTATAATTTAGATACAGTAGCAGCTGGTAAAGCACTCCTCTCCCTCCTATTTGCATATTTAAAAATCTAAGGCTTCCATTGGCAAGCAGACATATTGTAGAGATCAAATATTCCTACCATTTTTTGGTGCCTTGCTGGAATCAAAGTCCTGAATTCAGAGAGACACTTGTGAGAGGAGAATGGAACTGCTGTACAAGATTCCTCAAGTGTGTAATAGAGGCCTTTTGGGGTAATTGGGTGATAAGTGTCATTGCACAAAACAAAATCAAGATGAATATCTTTATTGAAGAACGTCCTATCAAATTCCACCCAGATGTTGTAGATAGTGTTTGTCTCAAAGAACTGGGGAATAAACTTCTTTTTTCTCCCTCTGAGATATTAAGAAGTTGCCAGGAAAATGAAAATGAAGAGTGCGGTAAGTGCTGGAAATGAAAACATCAACCCTGAGGCATGAAGTGCTATTGGAGAGGGATCGAGAAACATACAAGAATAAATGGGTTAGAGCTGATAAAGTTTGAGAGCTCCCTTCTTGGTGCTTCACCTTGAAGTTACAGAAATATTTCAGAAAGTGTATCTCTTGGTTGTATGGAGGGCATTTGGAGGGAGATGGAATCATGCTGTCATTTGTCTCATATTCCAAAGTTGTTGGTTGTAGCAGTGTGCAGATGGAGAACTGTACATACAGGCCCCTCCTTTGCCTTCCCACTGATTTTCTTGAAATTTTCTCCCAGAAGGTGAGCAGATACAAACATATATAAGAAAGAGGCTAGGGCTAGAATAGTGTTTGCCAGATGTTGTTGTGAGGGTACCACAATGACTAACTATAGGCTAGAATTTCTTTATGGGTCCAAGTTGGAACCATGAATTAAAGGTACTAGAACTGGTACATATTGACAAGCTGCAGATCAGATTTAGAAAAGGAACAGTTTCGTTCTGAAATGTCAACCATTTGTTATGTATTGGGATCAGCAGTTGGACCATAAATGATGCAGTTTTATGTATTAAATTGGTATACTGCCATACACCTGTAGATTTCAGGACAGATCACAACATAATTTTTTTCTGCCCGGACACTGAAGTCCAGCGACGAGGACCTTCTGGCAGTTCCCTCACTGTGAGAAGTGAAATTACAGGGAACCAGGCAGAGGGCCTTCTCGGTAGTGGCGCCTGCCCTGTGGAATTCCCTCCCATCAGATGTCAAAGAAATAAGCAACTATCAGACTTTTAGAAGACATCTGAAGGCAGCCCTGTTTAGGGAAGCTTTTAACATTTGATGAATCATTATATTTTAATATTCTCCTGGAAGCCGCCCAGAGTGGCTAGGGAAACCCAGCCAGATAGGCGGGGTATTAATAATAATAATAATAATAATGACAATAATAATAAAAGCACAATATAAAAACACAAAATGCATAATAAAAATAATAAAATGACATGTAGACTAATCTCTATGCAGCCTATTCTCTATAAAATCTAATTAATTCAAAGAGAGACTCAGAACATTGCATGAATGCACTGGCAAAGCAGCAAATGGAGAGCACCCAGACTGCAGTTGTTTTAGTAGTGATGTATGAAAGTGAGAGCTGGACTATAAAGAAGGCTGATCACCGAAGAATGGATGCTTTTGAATTATGGTGCTGGAGGAGACTCTTGAGAGTCCCATGGACTGCAAGAAAAACATACCTATCCATTCTTAAGGAAATCAGCCCTGAGTGCTCACTGGAAGGACAGATCCTGAAGCTGAGGCTCCAATACTTTGGCCACCTCATGAGAAGAGAAGACTCCTTGGGAAAGACCCTGATGTTGGGAAAGATGGAGGGCACAAGGAGAAGGGGACGACAGAGGACGAGATGGTTGGACAGTGTTCTCGAAGCTACTAACATGAGCTTGACCAAACTGCAGGAGGCAGTGAAAGACAGGAGTGCCTGGCGTGCTCTGGTCCATGGGGTCACAAAGAGTCAGACACAACTAAATGACTAAACAAGAAGAATAAGAAGATTGCAGTTACTTGGCTGGGTGCAATTTTCATTGCCACCACCACTTTCTCTTGGGGGATAAAGCACTGTGCAACTGTGAGACATGAGGCAGCTGTATATGTGGGCTCCTTTATTCCTCTCTCAAAAGCAGCAAGAAAAAGAAGTCTTGTGAGAAAGCTACTCTGCTAAATGAACAGTTTGTCCCAGAAAGGGGGTTTCTGTCCATTGTGACATAGAAAAAGCCATCTGAGAAAACTTCAGCTGGTTTTACAACTTTCTCCCACATTACAAGGAGGCAGGTGATTATCACATGGTGTTCACTAATGAGCACATAGAAGAATACAAAGCTGCCTTATATTGAGTCATCCAGTTAGAGCTGTTGCCATTGCCAATCAGTGGTTCTCCAAGGTATCAGAGATCTCTCTCAGCCCTACCTAGAGACATCAGGGATCGAACCTGGGACCTTCTGTATGAAAAGAAGGTGCTCTAGCACCAAGCTACACTCCTACCCCAGAAGCCAGGTAGTTTTTCTTAGCTGTCTTTGCTTATGCAGATCTTTTGACCTTTTGGTCCATACCTGTTCCTTGATACTTGGATACTTGACCAGCAGTAGTGTTTATACCCACACAAGGGAGAATGGTAGCTCCAGGAAAAGCTATGTCCCAGTAACTTGTGTTTCATCATTTAGAATTATTGACTTTCAGAAGAACCCACAAATATTCTGGTAGTAAACTCCTAGCGTAGTGTTAAGTGCATCCATCTGTCTTTTCCTACCTTCAGACTGACTCCCACATTATAGCATTGCTGTGATTGCATATATAAGCAGAGAAAGGTGGTAATTGTTAGGAAAGCTTTTGTTAAATGTTTATCAGTAGGAAAGCAGAAATGCCCAACGCTTTTAATTGCACAGTGATTTTATTATTCAAATGATGGAATTTGCCGAGAACAGCTGCATTTTGTAATCTAACCAGCTCTTAAATAGTGCTTCTGATTTGTGGGTATTATATTATTTGACTGCAGAAGGCTAACTGCACTCAGATTCTTGTGCACATAGTAAGATTTTAAATTGGGGAGTTTGGCAATCAATACTGCAGCGTGTTTTTGAAAGAGGCCTTTGTGAAATTTAATGACCACAACTGTATTTAGAAAACCAATTCCCAGCATTAAATCAAGCTTAATGTTCTAGTCTTTCAGCACGCAAGAATAGTGAGGCTTATCATGAAATTAGTTATAGCTTTGCTATACTTTTTTAAAGAAGAGGAGGAGGAGGAGGAGGAGGAGGAGGAGGAATCCTTCTTATCCTACTGCCTGCCATTCAGAAGGTATAGGGATTTTTATTATCTCTTTTGTTCTTTGGATTATAGTCCATCCTTCACCTCTGAGGCCCAGAATGCGTTCCATAGATTTAATTTAAGTTACAGTTAAATATACAATTAAAAACATCGGCCACACTACTACATTGCAGAAGGGAGGGTGACCCCAGGAACTTATATTTCTCATCTACCTACAAAGGCATGAGCAAAGAGATGTGTTTTCTTAACCTGCTGGTGTTAATGTACAACAATAGTTCCAAGTACACTTTGGAGGGGAGGGAGTTTCAAAGCCTGGGGGCCACCATAGAGAAGGTCCTTTCATGTGCCAGCATCCTACAGACCTCAGAGGGCACCAACACTGCTAATAGGACCTCCCTTGCCAATCTTAACACTCAGACATATATGCTTGGGAGGAGGTCTCTTTCAGATAATGGAGCCCAAGTCCTGGCACTATATAGCTATGTAGGGATCAGTGAATTTTTTAATTTCAATTGCTCCCCATTTCTCATTTTTCCCCAGTGTTAAATTCAGTTCTTCCCATTTCTACACCAGTTTGCAATTCTTTAAAAAAAATGCATGAAAATTTATCAGCATTTTAGTATGTATTTCTGCTACTAATCACTTTTTTATTTACAATTTCCCTTCGATATGCACATTTTTTTGCAGATCAAAGTTCCCTAATATAGAGATTTTTGTGCTTATTACTTGGCAGGAGATTTTGAATGCAAAATTTGGGTAAATGTAGATTTCAAAGGATAGCTTTGTTTTGGTTTGCACATTGTTCTGGAAACTGTGAATTGGATAAGTTTGCCTTTAAATGGAAACTGAGTTGGAATTCTCCCCCACCCCCAATCACAGCTGTGCTTTACCAAAAACAACAACCCCAGAACTGATCAGTGCTCCTTGAGAAATTTTGTGGGCAGCCTCACTTCCTGCAAAGGTCATGGACCTAGAGAAACATTAAAAAGTACGTAGGAAAACACAGCTAAACAATTCTTTGTTGGACCCATGATCTGACTTGGAGGGGGTGGAGATTATTTACATTGCCTTTCAGCTAAAAAGTGGGGGACAGACCCCCACAAACAACCCCCAATTCACATTGTTGTGCAGCATTCACACAGAGCAATTGCAAACCCCTAGTATAAGCATTGCAAAATGTTCCTACTTGCAGCTACAAATTTCACCAGCTGGAGCCAGAGACTCCAGTTTCTATCTCTCTTTTTTTAAATAAAAAAATAGAGTGCTCTAATTACACAAATATTTTCTTGTACAGGCAAAAAAGTAATCAATTTGACATTAATTGCCTCTTCCCCTTTGGCAGCTGGCCCCTGTAAATGCAACCAAATCCTGTACTTTCAGAACTTTGCTCGTCAGTTGATTTGATGGTTAAAACGATAATTGGTATGAAAAGAATAGAGCAGCACTTGTGGGTAGGAGACTACCCTGGGGAATGTGAAGCCAAAGCAGAACAATGATTTTATATTTTTCCTTTTGTTGAGTTTTCATTGTCTAAGTGAGGTGCACAAAAGAGAAAAGCGGCAAGAGAGCACAGGAATGCAAACACTCATTTTGTTCATTTCAGAAAGTCAAATGGCAAATAGGAAATTGCAAAACTGCAAGCTGTCTAAATTCTTACAATTCCCACATTGCAAAAAAATGGAATTAACTGACAACTGTAAGGCACCCATTGTCTCAAACAAGGCAATCCAGCAACCAGTCTTGGGCACCAAACTGTCTGAACAAATTGTGGTGGGTTATCAAAACATGGATTTGCTGCCATAAATCTCTGAGAGCCTTGAGTGCCATCTGTACAGTCTACACCTTCTTTAGCAGTTGACAGATGACATGTGGGGACTAACAGGAGCAGAGGAAGCTGCCTTATATCAGGTGAGACTGTCTAGCTAGCTGAAGCCAGATGAGAGTGAGGCCACTACTTTACTGGCCTCATTCTGATCTGATCTCTAGCTTTTGTTCACATTCCTTGATGGGTAAAATTTGGACCAAGCAACATCCAGAGAAAATGCGTTGATGTCAACAATTATTTTTAAAAGTCACTGGTAGGGCTTAGTGGTAGCATAAACAGAAGTTCCCATGTTCAGCGCCTGGTATCTATAGGTAAATCTGAGAATAATCCCTTTCTGAAGATCCTGGAGATGTGCTGGGGGAAGAAAAATACTGATATAGGTAGACCAATGGTAACAGCTTCCTACATACTTTCCTATTGTTCAAATGTAATATTATTTTTAATCATTTGGTTTATTTTTAGCACATAGTACACAGCTCACCAAATACCAAACAAACAAACAAAATTCCAAGATTGGTTCCAATTGATTACAAACATTTCATAAACAATATGTCATTTCCCTCTGAAATTATAATCTATTATTTTGCTCAAGTGGAATAATAATGCTGTAAGAAAACTAAATTTATCTCAGGCGCCTCAGCAGGTTGATTCTTTGTTATCCATTAATTGTTAATGGCAGTGTTCCATTGAGTCTCTGCCAGTTCTACCAACCTCGGGTTTCTCAAGTGATGTTGTAGCATTCAACATAGACGTTAATTAAACTTAAAAACAAGATATTTTAGCCTAATCAGTCATCTAAATGAAGTATAATTTGGTTCAGATTGCCTATTTTGTTTTTAAACTGTAATCCCCCCACCTTACCATATATTTTATCTAAGTGTGGCTCACTAATTTGGAGGAACTGAAGGCCTAGTTTGCAAACTGAAGATCAAGCAGAATGTGTCTGGAGGACAGCAGCCAGATGGTGAAAGGTCTAGAAACCATAATCCTATGCAGAATGGCCAAAAGAGTTGGTTATGTTTATCTTTGAAAAGAGAAAATTAAGCAGGGACATGATAGTGTTCTCCAAATATTTGAAGGATTCCCATGCATAAGATGGATCAGACTTGTTCTCTGTTGTTCCTGGAGGCAGAACTAGATAGAACCAATTGCTGAAAACTGCGGGGAAGCAGGTTTTGGCTAAGCATCAGGGGACAATGATAAGAACTAGTTGATAGTGGAACAGATTGGCTTGGTAGGTGGTGGACTTTTCTTCACTGGAATCAATTAAACAGAGGCTGGGTAGCCATCCATTGGGGACTGCTGTAATTTAAGAGTGGGAAATCACCAGCCAAATGCATCTGGCTTTTGTATGGCTGGAATGTAACCTACTGTACAAAGAGAAGTCTCACTTCTATTGCTTTACCCATTTCTGGCTCTGGCCCAAACCATCACTGGCAAATTGCACCTGGAATGTAAGAGTCTGCTGAATCAGGCCACTGGACTATCTAGTCCAACATCCTGTTATCACAGTAGCCAACCAGATGTCTGCAACCAGGTCTCAAGCACAAGAGCCCTCCTCTGTTCAGTGTTTTCTAGCAACTGGTGTTCAGAGGCATTACTGCCTCTGACTGTAGAGTCAGAGCTATCATGGCTAGCAGTGCTTGATAATCTTATTATCCATGAACTTGTCTAATCCTCTTTTAAAGCCACCCAAGTTGGTGGCCATCATGGCTTCATGTGGGAGCAAGTACCATAGTTTAGCTATGTGCTGCATGTAGAAGAGCTTTATTTTATCTGTCTTCCAACATTCAATATCATTGGGTGTCTACTAGTTCTAGCATCATGAGAGAGGGAGAAAAAATTTCTGCATCCACTTTCGAGTAGCTATACACAAAATCAACCACAAAATCTTACTGAGTTGGAAAGGATCTGCAAAGATGAGTGGGACAAAATACCTCCTGAGATGTGTGCAAACCTGGTGGCCACCTACAAGAAACGTCTGACCTCTGTAATTGCCAACAAGGGTTTTGCCACCAAGTACTAAGTCACCTTTGGCAAAGGGATCAAATACTTATTTCACTCATTATGATGCACATCAATCTCTGACTTTTGTCTTCTGGGTTTCTGGGGTTTTTCCTGTTGTTATCCTGTCTCTCACAGCTACAATAAACCTACCATTAAAATTATGGACTGGTCATTTCTTCGTCAGAGGGCAAACGGGCAAATTTAGCAGGGGATCAAATATTTCCCCCCCCCACACTGTAACTTAGAGCCCTAGCAGATGATTTTATAACTTCAGAATTATGGGCAGGCTTTGATATGGAAAAGACAATGGCAACTCCAACACCCAGGGTACAATTATTTTTTGTTGGGTAGGAGATTCCATTGCATCAATGGGCATGCCCCCC